GTCTTTACTTCTAGTCAAATGTTGTGTTGGTTCCCTGGCCTTAGCTAGGAGGGATCACTACGGAATAAACAGCCTTGAACTCCAGTCACTCATTCTCAGCTTACTTTATTTGTGATAAGCTGTATTTTTCAATTCTTTTCGATGATGGGAAAACTAAAAAAAAAAATAAACAAAATGCTGATATACCACAGTTTATTTCTTTTTCATCATATCACAAAAAACAAAACATTTTCTGCAAAATGAAAAAAAAAAATTACGAAATTTCCCCCCCAATTACTTCTACATTTCGTTCGTCAATCTATCTAGCAATTACACCATTATCTTACAAGTCTTAATTCAATCTGATAAAGTAAAGACAATATGATGTAAATTCTCCGGAGACCAGATTCATGATTCACACATCAGTTGAACCACAGAAATTGACGATAAAATCTACATGCCTAGCACATGAATTTCAAACTAACATAAGTAGGACATTCACTCTGCTTAAAATAACCATCGAGAACTTTTATAAAAGAAAAAAAATGAACAGTAGATGTTTATTTTGATTTACTTGTAACATATTACTGATTTTCTCGAATCCATTAAATCTACAAGTATTTCCACATGAACTACTAGATATTTAAATTTTTCAGCTTACGGAGGATTTACAGTTCAAAATACACAATCATGGCATTGTGATATTAAAACAAGGAATAAACAAATAAAAAAAAAACAGTGTTAGAAGTTTGTTGAGATGTAATTATCCAACAATTTACCTGATCTAGCTTCTACACAAGATGAAATAGACACACATACCTGATCAAAATCGATGCTAATACACAGACACAAAAACATTATGTAAAAATCAATATTAATATGATACAAGTGTAACCATTTGGTATGTTAATAATAAAAATTAAAACTTTAATCAGATATAAATCAAATTTCTAAATCAATATGTATGTATATTTTAAACATACTGGAAAATATTAAAGCATCATCTACATGACCCGATTCATCTTAGATTGTTAAAAAACTTTAGTTACATGTAGAAAATCATATTTTTACCAGTAACTGCAGTGAAAATCTACTGTAGAATTAGATGAATAAAAATGCCATTACTTCTACAACTTTTATCAAAAGGAATCGGACATAATTTTAGGCAGGTCAAATGTGTAAAATGAATCTGGAAGTATTATACAAATGTTTCAGACTGTTTATTCTCTCTCTCTCTCCATCCCTATCCCACCCTCCTATTTATTCTATGACCTTGACAATACTAATGTTTACATCCACAGAAATGGTTTTTTTTTTTTTGCATTTTAGACTCGATGCGATATACTGGACGCCTCCTTCAGATAATCAATGATTTTAGACAGAAAAACTCACTTTTTTTTCTAAACGGGACACCATTTGTAAACACAATCAATGACTGGGCAAAATGAGGACAGGAAAATTGTGCATAATTGAAAAGCCATCATTAATGAAAAGTTAAAATCATCTTTTTTTTTCACAGCCAGATTGACAACATTTATATTGTTCAAACATTAACAGTATATCACAGATTCATCAAGGCAAGAGTACTGATTTTGGGAGTAACATCCACGTACATTATATACAAACTAATTTGATTTTTGTTCAAAGCAAAAACGTTTAAGTACATTAAATTTTCCACATGCATGTTATATACTTGTGTGCTTTACTTAAGCTTAACAGAGTCAATTTTCAGAATTTTATCAGATTCAAATGGAGGAAATTTAGTTTCCATTTCTTGGTAGCTACCGACAACAAATTCAAATTTTGTGCTTGTGAGTATTTTCAGGACTACCTGTGTATATTAGCCCTACTAACAGTGCAGAACCATTTCAATGGTAACTGTAACCATGACATGATCTATAAAAAAGACATTTATAATCTAACATTAGACCTTTCTCATTATGTGTGTTGAAGTCACAAATACATTAAAATTTCATCAATTTACAAAATCCAATGACTTGGCACAATTAATTGTCCTTAAAACAACTTTCACATAATCATGAATAATGATGATTCCCCCACAAAGCACTAGAATAAGCTTTTATATATATGAATATGAATTTCACAGATATGTTAACTCCGACCTGAATCCTGGGTCATTTCGAGGCAAACAAAACACAAATCCCCACACAACAATTCAGTCAACCTTCTTCATATTGCATTACAATACTCTTTTCACTGATAGAACTTTTTATCCTAACAAAATTTATTGCTTTATATCATATATTGATCACAATTTAACCTTGAACTCTAAAAGATTTGCTGCAATATGGAAGACAATGTGAAGTGAAAAAAAAAATCCTGTCATCCAATATTACAATCACATGGTCATCCGATTTTGTGATCTCAAGGTCATATAATTTATGACCCACGCTCATTGAATGTTTCAACCTCAAGGTCATCTAATAATATGTTACTACCTCAAGGTCATCTTATGATTAAAAACCCTGTCAATGATGTCAGAAGATTCATATCATTTGTGTGAAAACAATGGCATGGAATTTTAAGGAAACTGAACAGCAGTACCTAAGAGTACAGAGATGTTAAATGTACAGTCTTCTACCAAAAAGAAGCTGGTTAGCCTTGCCACTGAGGTAGTCATCACAAATAGAGTAAAACCCATAGGAAGCATTGATGCTGCTTTTGTTATTGTCACATGACTTTGTTTTTTGTTGTCACATGACTTTGCTTTTGTTATTGTCACATGACTTTGTTTTTGTTATTGTCACACAACTTCGTTTTTGGATCTGCTTTTTAACTGAATTGCTTTGTTCTTGTGTTTGTATTAAATTGGTTTGTCTTATTAAAATCGTATCATGCAATGTGGAAACGTTTACATTGTTAAACTAAATGTATATACATCTACATACTATATGCATGTATTATCTACAATTACAATTCTGGACACGCCCAATGCTATTTCTTACAGATACTTTCATAAACAAATAAACAAAAAATATAACATTTAGCTTTTGGTAAGTGACTAAGGACGGATAATTTCTTGTGAAAAATATGACAATATGCATACCTGGTATTAGTTATTTTGATGTAATAACTCTTTGATTTAACAAAAAAGAAAACTTCAAACATGACTGAATTAATTTCATATGAATATTGGCAGTCTCTTTATCATATGAATGCATAAAAAGGCACACAGAAAATTAACATAAAAAATCTTTTTTGGTACAACTATTAAAATTTCAAACCAAACATTTTCTGATGGTGAATTATAAAGTGCGTAGCTAACAGTATTATTCAATCTTTACTGTGCAACATAGAATAGGCAAAAAAACAAATGGCTGTGGACATCATGCTCACTTTTAATGAGAATAATGGTAAAAATATACATCCGATACGAAAATAAATTACTTTCAATCTCTGAGACGTGTTACTAATATTTACAAAATAATCTTATATCAGGAGATGTAATTTGTATAACCGATTTCTAATTTAACCTTACAATTTTGTAAAGAAGATTTGTAAAGCACAAGTGGAATGTTTCATAACAGAAGATGTTTTTGAATGATAGTTATCTCCCCTGGATCATTAACAAAGTTCAAATGGACGGAATCAAAAATACATCCTGTCTATATGACAGACATCTTTGAGTGACAGATGACTAGTAATTTTTTTAAAAGCATAAAACATTTGTTATCACAATCCAGTTTGGCTTTTGTACAATTGTGCCACACAAAAACCTACACAATCACAAATTAAAAACAAGAAAGTTTAACACTATTAATTAAAGAGTGCCATTCCTGTACAACTGAAATAGAGACCAGAAACTCAAAAAATCATTTTATTTGCTTTCTATTGCATCTGTGTGAATTATTAATTTAAATGCCACAGGAGCCTGATGATATCACCAAACAAAACATTAAGTCCTAAACTGGGATAATTTTATTTATGAAAAAGATATTAAAGATATCTGTATATAGTTTGTAATCAGCTATGCGATTAGTTTCTTGGAATATCACACCAATTGTTATTTTTCCCTTTTTTTCCACTTTTTCCTGTAGGATAAAAAAAAAACAACAACTTTTACACAAAGTTTGCATAACAAAAAGATTATTTCTTCTACTATTTGACATGTGGCTAAATCTATTTGGAGACAAAACAAATAAAAAAAGCCAGTGAAAGAAAAAAACATAAATTGATGAATTTGTAAAATAAGAACATCACTTTATATACATTTAATCTGATTCAATGTTATAACTGTATCAGAAAGATATCTAAGTAACCAACAAACATGCTGAACAGTCATATCCTATTAAGAGGCAGATAAAAGTCATAGTTCTTAGATAATAACTCAGAAAGGTAGAAATTTATCTGATATTAGTAAAACACCATCATTAAAACATTTTTTGTCACTCTGTAACCAGAAGTATTTATGAATAAACAAGTCTCTTTCTATCAAGACTAATTTCCCTTGTGGTAAGGAACAACCTCTAAAATTTTCAAAATTTTCAAAATCTAACTAGAATATTTTGTTATCTACCATCTAGAATACACTACAATCCCCAATGGCACAAATTGTCATAATTTCAATATGTACTGTAAATGAACTAATTTCAACACATCAAATATTTTAGTGCATTTTATCAACTTTGCACACTTAGCACATTGCTGAACTTGTACACCTGTTACATACAATAGGGAAATACAATTTAATAGCACAATGATAATTCTTAGCAAATTAAGTGCTGTCATATAATCACTGCCAGAATAAGTGTGTTTGAATTATCCTTTTTAAATCTATCTAGTTTTGCAGCTAAAATTTACTGTGAATAAAAGAAAATAAGCTTTGATGTAAAGGAAATGATACAGAATAAAACATAAAGAGATACCAGCATTATCAGAACCAATATCATTCACATTGCTATATCCATGATTATGATGAGTTGTCTACCCTTGTTAAGTTAACTACAGTTCAAGATACTGGACTGATATGGATACATAATGACTTATATAAAATTTTCCAGCATAAAATCATTCTACAAATTTTGAAATAATTAATTTATGTACTAAAATCTGTATCCATAATAATCCACATAGCGAAATGAGTTTGATTGGCGAACAGCTTTCGTCAACGCCTGTGTTTTCCGAGCTTTTCTAGCCATGATTCGCATCATTTTCGCCTTCTGTTTTTCTACGGCTCTTGCTCTCTTCAGATCAGTGTTTTTCCTCCGAAGCCAGCTGAAAAAAAAATAAATATAAGCTGATGAGTTATTTTGCATTTGATACATTGTTATAACAATACATTGCGTACTTGGTGAAAATTACGTCATCTTCCCATGAGGGACTTGCCACGCTTTCCCCATAGGAGCCATGCAATCCTATTATTCTGATTTATCCAAAGATGTTTAAGATAAAATCTGGTCTAATCAAAATCATGTACAATGCATTTTGGAAACTTATAGGAACAGCTGTTCTGCCATAGTATATGTTTATTGGTCCAATGGACCAGGTCAGTTAAATTTCACTTACTCTCTGAAGGCCTTGTCACAATCATCTCGTGAACGAATGATGAGTCCTTCGCTTGCTTCCTGTTCCTGTCGCTTCGCTAGCAGTTTTTCCCGTTTCTTTTGTTCTGTCTTGGATTTTACCCAATCCTTGTACATCTGGTTGTTCTGCTCAGTCTATAAAACACAAACAAGTAATTTCTGTACATTTCTGAATCAAAGACAATATGCAGTACCTGTGGTTGGACCAGTAAAACATTGCCACGTAACTTTCCATTTCTAAAGAAATATCTTAAATCACTGTAAATAGCCAAAAATAATAATTTTCTTCAGTGCAGAACAGTCTGCTCATATCCCTATTGCTGTCATCCTGTCAGCAGTTCATAGTTGTAACAATTCTTAAGTGAGATGACCACTGTACTGTGTTGTTTTCAAAATATGCCTTTCAGAAGCTGACAGGTCAGCAAGGGCCCTGCTATGTGGCTGGAAAATCTATACTTACAAATACATTCAACAACTTTTTTTTTATTTATGATAACAGTGACCTTGACCTTAGAACATTTGGTAAGGAAGCATTGTATGAAGTTTGATTTAGATTGGGAAAAAAGCAAACTCAAGTTATGACCTTTGACATTTAGACCTGAATGGCAACCTATCTCAAACAAAAACTTTTGGTTACGAAGCATTTCATCAAGTTTGAGTTATTCAACACAATGGATGTTCTATTAATGCAACAATAACCTCAACCTTTGACTTCTGGGTCTGAAAAGTTCTCCCTAGCAAGCACTTTCAGTAAGAAAACATTGTAGGAAGTATGAGTTTGATTAGCCCAAGGAAACCCCCCAAGTTATCTCACAGAAACCAATTTTCTGGTTAGACTAAGATGAATCTAGACCACTGACTCTGGGATCTGAAAAGCAATCCAAAGCAAGCCATGTTTGTAAGGAAGCATTGTATGAGGTTTGAGTTTGACAGGCCAAAGCAAACTTGAGTTCTTGCAAGGAAATTTGTAATTCCCTTCCCACAAAATACACCAACAATCAAAGTGAATATTAATTAATGATGAAAACACAATAGATATGTTCTAGATACCAATGCATTGTAAACATGAAATGAAAATTTTGAAATTCTTCTTTTCTCAAAATTTACCCCAAAAAATATCACTGCCTAAAAAGGGAGAGAAAAACATTTCACAGTACTTCTTTTTAATATGAATTCAATCAGAAGTGAAAAGAACCATCCATAAAAGCTTTACAGTCATTTCTCAAAAGTTTTTTTATCCAAACAATACACAAAAAACATAAATAACATGTAACATGTAACAGGTGAGTTCATGTGTACGTAACACAATATCACTGTTTTGATTGACAGAGCAATTGTACTGAATGAGAAACTCAGCTAAATGCAAAACTAAGCATGCCAAATGTTCTGAGTTGTCGGGCCGAAAATCTGTCATTTTGTAACTGATTGACGTGTAGAGGTTTCCATTATGTCACCTAACTTGATAAGAGGTTTGATTAAAGTTGGACTTTTTGAACAACAGATCTCAACGTTAAACTGTAAAATTCCTAATCAATCTCCTATATATATACTACTTATAGAAAACAATGTACCGACCTACACTATTTTTTCAAACATGTAACAGGAAACATATCTTTTCCGTAATGAACAAACAGTGTGATTTGTGGGTACTACAAATTGAAATCTAGAATGTCAGTATAATATATCCTGGTTTTTCAGGAACACAACACCTCAGACAATGTTAAACCACCCTGCCTCAGTTGTGTATTGTAGCCCTAAATACGATACAATTTAATCAGGTATCGGGAATTCTAAACACTAGAGTCAATATTCCGCTGTAGACCTATATGGTATTACATATTGATTATATTGGTAACCAATAACAAAAACTTTAAAGGGCTTGTCCAGGTAAATTCCTGTCACTGTGAAGCGTTAAATATAGACAAAAACATTGGTCACCAGAAACCAAAACACAAATAGTGTCAGAAGTCTGCAAATAGATATAAACTACCACCAGTACATATTGTTCAATGGAACACACATGATGAAATAGGGACTACATGAACAGTGTTTTTACTTCTATCTACTCCACCCAGCCAGTCTATCAAATTTAACAAATTCAATTTATAGAGGCCATAAATGAATTCAAAGTTTGAAATTCACCTGGCTCCATTAATTAACACGTAAAGCCTGAAAGTTTATTGATTTTACAAAAACTGTCGACTGATGAGGTAGTGAAAGTCAGTTTGCCCTGTTGTTTGTCACAATAATGGAATACCTTGTACAGGTGTAATCAATATTGTTACATCAGATAAGACCAAACACATGGAGATGATATACATTGTTTCAAGAAAGTGAAGTTAGGTTAAAAAAAAAAAAAAAATGGAAACACCATTCTTCACAATAAGTCTCAGTTATGTACAATTAGGAAACAAATGGAAACAAACTTTTTAAATTAAAAAATGATCCCTCCTGAAGCAAACTAGCAAAATCCAAGATGGCCACCTAATAGCCATTTAGTTCTCAAAATGGATGACAGACAACTTGTGACCAAGGAGATATTACATATAAAATTATGACAGACACAATGAAAGACTACAGATGATGGGTGATTTAAAAAGTCCTCCATAAAAAAATTCACAACAGATTGGTGAGAAAATTAGACAAGGTTTTGAGGAAAAACACTGAAAAACCAAGAGGATAAATATACAACCAAGAATAGATTAATGTACCTGGTAAAAAAATGAGATAACAAAAAGATTTCCGCTTATGAAAATGGAGCTAAAGTCAAGACAAAGTGTAACCAAAGTTGGTGCAATCCCTTTATCTGTCAATTTAACAGAAGCATTCATGTATATCAGTCTGTTTCCTCCCTGGCTCATCTGACTGTAAGGGTTTGGCTAGGGATATCTCCACCTGACTGTAAGGGTTTGGCTAGGGATATCTCCACCTGACTGTAAGGGTTTGGCTAGGGATATTTGGCTAGGGATATCTCCACCTGACTGTAAGGGTTTGGCTAGGGATATCTCCACCTGACTGTAAGGGTTTGGCTAGGGATATCTCCACCTGACTGTAAGGGTTTGGCTAGGGATATCTCCACCTGACTGTATGGGTTTGGCTAGGGATATCTCCACCTGACTGTAAGGGTTTGGCTAGGGATATCTCCACCTGACTGTAAGGGTTTGGCTAGGGATATCTCCACCTGACTGTAAGGGTTTGGCTAGGGATACCTCCACCTGACTGTAACAGTTTTGCTAGGGATATCTCCACCTGACTGTAAGGGTTTTGCTAGGGATATCTCCACCTGACTGTAAGGGTTTGGCTAGGGATATCTCTACCTGACTGTAAGGGTTTGGCTAGGGATATCTCTACCTGACTGTAAGGGTTTGGCTAGGGATATCTCCACCTGACTGTAAGGGTTTGGCTAGGGATATCTCAACCTGACTGTAAGGGTTTGACTAGGGATATTTCCAACAATGTAAGGGTTTGGCTAGGGATATCTCCACCTGACTGTATGGGTTTGGCTAGGGATATCTTTACCTGACTGTAAGGGTTTGACTAGGGATATCTCCACCTGACTGTAAGGGTTTGACTAGGGATATTTCCAACAATGTAAGGGTTTGGCTAGGGATATCTCCACCTGACTGTATGGGTTTGGCTAGGGATATCTTTACCTGACTGTAAGGGTTTGACTAGGGATATCTCAACCTGACTGTAAGGGTTTGACTAGGGATATCTCTACCTGACTGTAAGGGTTTGGCTAGGGATATCTCTACCTGACTGTAAGGGTTTGGCTAGGGATATCTCCACCTGACTGTAAGGGTTTGGCTAGGGATATCTCCATCTGACTGTAAGGGTTTGGCTAGAGTTTCTCCACCTGACTGTAAGGGTTTGGCTAAGGATATCACCACCAATGTAAAGGTTTGGCTTGGGATATCTCCACCAACGTGAGGGTTTGGCTAGGGATATTCCACCTGACTGTATGGGTTTGGCTAGGGATATCTCCACCTGACTATAAGGGTTTGGCTAGGGATATCTCTACCTGACTGTAAGGGTTTGGCTAGGGATATCTCTACCTGACTGTAAGGGTTTGGCTAGGGATATCTCCACTAATGTGAGGGTTTGACTAGTAATATCTCCATCTGACTGTAAGGGTTTGGCTAGAGTTTCTCCACCTGACTGTAAGGGTTTGGCTAAGGATATCACCACCAATGTAAAGGTTTGGCTTGGGATATCTCCACCAACGTGAGGGTTTGGCTAGGGATATTCCACCTGACTGTAAGGGTTTGGCTAGGGATATCTCGACCTGACTGTAAGGGTTTGACTAGGGATTTATATACCTGACTGTAAGGGTTTGGTTAGGGATATCTCCACCTGACTGTAAGGGTTTGGTTAGGGATATCTCCACCAACGTGAGGGTTTGGCTAGGGATATCACCACCAATGTAAAGGTTTGGCTAGGGATATCTCCACCTGACTGTAAGGGTTTGGCTAGGGATATCTCCACCTGATTGTATGGGTTTGGCTAGGGATATCTCTACCTGACTGTAAGGGTTTGGCTAGGGATATCTCCACCAATGTAAGGGTTTGGTTAGGGATATCTCCACCTGACTATAAGGGTTTGGCTAGGGATATCTTTACCTGACTGTAAGGGTTTGACTAGGGATATTTCCAACAATGTAAAGGTTTGGCTAGGGATATCTCCACCTGACTGTAAGGGTTTGGCTAGGGATATCTCCACCTGACTGTAAGGGTTTGGCTAGGGATATCTCCACCTGACTGTAAGGGTTTGGCTAGGGATATCTCCACCAATGTAAGGGTTTGGCTAGGGATATCTCCACCTGACTGTAAGGGTTTGGCTAGGGATATCTCCACCTGACTGTAAGGGTTTGGCTAGGGATATCTCCACCTGACTGTAAGGGTTTGGCTAGGGATATCTCCACCTGACTGTAAGGGTTTGGCTAGGGATATCACCACCAATGTAAAGGTTTGGCTAGGGATATCTCCACCTGACTGTAAGGGTTTGGCTAGGGATATCTCCACCTGACTGTAAGGGTTTGGCTAGGGATATCTCCACCTGACTGTAAGGGTTTGGCTAGGGATATCTCCACCTGACTGTAAGGGTTTGGCTAGGGATATCTCAACCTGACTGTAAGG